GCTTGGCCGCAGCGAGTGTCTGTGAGCTGGAAGCTGGCTCCTGTCTGGACGGCCCTGCAGACAGCAGCTATTAACACCACGCTGCTGGCCACCGGCCTCCAGGTCACCGGCCTTCCATTTCGGGGAATTGATCCCAAGGAAATTGTCCAAAAGGAAGAAAAAAAAATTAAAAAGCAATTTGTACCAAGATGTGCCCAGCAGCTCTGCCTGCAAGAGCCAAGGCTGGAAGGGACCCAGCGTCCAACCCCGGGGCACCGGCCGGCCGGCCGACGTCTCCGACCTGCTGGCGAGGTGCAGCCTTCGGCGAGCGCTAATCCCTCGAAACCTGCCTCCATCTGTGCAGGAGGCTCTGGGGAGCCAGTCCTGTGCGGTCCTGGGACACAGCCAGGCCGGCCTATGCCAAGGACATGCCTCTGACCTTCCTGGCCACGTGTGGTCACGGGCACCTGGGCCGTGGCGAAGAGGGGCTGGGCCTGCCGGGGGGCCCTGCGCTGGCGGCCGGGGGGCTCAGACCCCCTGCTTGGTGCATCTGCTTGTCCTCACCCCCAGCACCCCACACCCAGTGGGACCGAGGCGCCTGCTGCCCCCAGTTCCCTCCTCCAGCTCAGAGTACCCACCCACTGTGGGCTCCTAATCCACCTCACTCTCTCGTGCTGGGGCCCAGCCCCTCCCTCTCGGGGCCACTTCCTGGGACAACGCAGACAGGAGGGACAGTCACTCATCCCTTCGAGAGCTCGTGACGAACAACGTGGCCGGGGGCGGGCGGCCTGACCACCCATGTCCAGACGGGCCTGTAGCTTCACTGTGGAGCCTCTGAGACTGGAGATGACCGTGCCCGCCAGGGAGAGGCCAGGGGGCCCGCAAGCCCCCCGGGTGGGCCTGGAGTCCTCCTGCTCCTCCACACAGTCTACCCAGTGGCCGCAGACTACGAGGGCTTCCTTGATGGTGACTCCTGGGGCGGGGCCAGAGGTACCCCGCGCCCCCCCAGTAGAGCAGAGAGGTGATGCAGCGCGGGGAAGTCCAGCTTCTGCCCGCTGCCCGCGCCGTCTGGGAACCCGCAGCCCTGGCTTCCGGGAGTGACCTGGCTCTGCGCCCCTCCCCCGCTCCTCAATGGGGTGGGAGTAGACAGCAAGGGTGTGGGGGGCTTGGGGGCAGGTTAGCTGGCAGTATCCCCATGGGGCCCGACCCATTCCAGCTGGTACCCACAAACAGCCCTGCCCTGAACCGCGGCCCCCTTGGAGGGAAGCCGGAGGAGGAGGGGGAAACTTGAGGCCTGGACCAGAGGATCGGGGGTGGGGGGCGCTGAGAAACCCAGGGTCCTGCCCCAGCACCGCTTCCCCTCCCCTCGCTCTGCAGCCTCGGGCTGGTCACACTCCTCTGGGCTCCAGTGCCGCCTCTGTGCAATCGGCCGCGGCCCCAGGCGCCCCCGGATGTCACCCAGCGCCAGCAGGGGCCTGGCACAGTCAGCCCTCGGCCACCCAGGCCTCGCCCGTCGGGCCCGGCATCACTCAGGGACCAGCTGCTGCGTCGTCACGGGCGCTTCTCACCAACAGCCGTAATTACACGCCGTGTTGTAAAACCTTCCCCAACAAATGTCAGGTTTCTCGCGGGCCTCCAGCTGAAGACAGGCAGCCCTGAGCGGCGAGGACCAGGCGGGCCCGCCAGCGAGGAGAGCCCACGCGGACGCGGGGGCGGGAGGCCACCCTCCCTGCCCAGCCACCGTCCCTTTGGGTGAGGACCTAGGGCCGGTCCGGCAGCCACACTGGTGGCCACAGCTCAGGACGCGGCACCCCGCTCCTGCCCAGACCCGGGGCGCGCCCCCTCGCAGTCCCGCAGCAGGCCCCCGCCCCAGGTAGGGTGTCCTGGGAACTTGACTGAGGTCCCACGGTCACTGGTCAGGGACAGGGAGCCGGGCAGGCAGCTCCCCCACTACCGGACCCCAGACTGAGACTTGGGGGGAGACCGCCCAGGAACTGGGCAAACCCAAGGCACCAGGAGCCGGAAGTGCGAGACTAATGGAGAGCGGGGACCGTGGGCTGGGGCCCAGGCCCTTGAATGTGGGGTACGGGTCAGAGGTAGAGTCGGGGATCAGGAAAGGGAGACTCCTGGGGGGACCGGGGAGACCTGGCGGGCCCATGTGCACCGGCCCCCGGGACGCGCCTGCTGTGTACAGACAGGCCGGGGCTCCCCTGGGAAGTGTACACGTGGGCAGGGGCCATGTGAGGGCCAGGACACGTGGGTGACGGGGGAAGGAGATGCTGGGGTTCACAGGGGCCCCGCCCTCGGGTGGAGGGAAGCAGGCCCTGCAGCTGGGGGCCGCAGGACGCTTTCCTGAGAGGGGAGATGGACAGTGGGCGTCTTGAGAAGCCTGGCCGGCGCCCAGGGGCAGGCAGGGGGCAGAGGCACGAGGTGGGGTGGCCTGTACTGATGGGCGGGGTGGGGCTGGCCGAGGAAGGACTCCCAAGCACCCCTCAACGCCCAGAGACCGGTGGGCCCCAGAATGTGGAAGCAGGGTGTTGACCGTTTTAAACAGGGAATTCAGGGGCCAGAGCTTCCAGATTCTGGCAGGGAGATCCTGGGGGAGGCGGGGTCTTGGCCACCCGGGCCCCTGCCCCTTCTCGGGGACCACGGAGTGTCCCTCCTCCAGCGGGCGGGCCCCCACTCCGGCCCCCACTCTGCATGCCTCCCAGCTTGGTTCAGAGTCAGGGAAACCCCAGCTTGGTCCTCGGTGCCCCGGGCTGGCGGGCGCTGGATAATTCCAGTTAACTCCCATGAGCTGATGTGAGGATTAGCAGAAAGCCCGCCCACCCCATCCTGATCCCCCACTGATCTGATGGCCCCATGTGGGGAGGGGGGTCAAGGGCTTCCAGGGCCGCAAAATTCTTCAAGCCAGCCTCTCAGCCCCACCCCAGCGCCCCAGCCGCGCACCAGGCCCCCAGCCACGCCCCTCAGGCGCCCAGGCCATGACAGACTCAGGTCAGCAGCCCGGCTGTGCCTAAGCTCCTGAGGCCAGGAAGGGGCAAAGCGTCCTCATGCCAGACCGCCCAGCGGGTGGGTGGTCAGGGACGTGAAATCAAAGTGGCAGCCTCAGGGGACACACAAGGCAGACCTCAGTGGCATTTAAAGACTTTAGAGACCAAAAAAAAAAAAATTAGAACTGACTTCGAAACAGATGGAGGGCAGCCCCAAACTCTCGGGGCACCCCTCCAGGTCAGAACCGGCAACCCCAGAGTTGCCAGGTCCCCACCGCCAGAGCTGTCTGCTCACTGTGGCAGTGACAGCTCCGGCTGAGAACTGTGGAAGTGGCAGGAAACCCCAGCACGAGAGATGAGGGCCCCAGCAGCTGCCCTGGGGCACCCCCACACGGGGTCCCCGCAGCCCACCTCCAGCACCTGCAGAAGGTGCCTGTCCACAGTTGAGCCTAACTGGCCTCCAGCGGGGGAGGAAGACCTTGCCAAGGCCCAGGGGCCCGCGGCCTGCAGTGAGGGTCCCTTACCCCAGCCTTTACCCTCGCTCCAGCTCTCGTTTTAGGGTGCCAAGAAGGAAGGTCAAGCCTCCTGCACAGACTCCTTCCCGGGCTCCCGGGGACTGGCTGCTCCAGGCCCCACTCCCGCGACCCCTGCCCCTCCCAGCCTGTTTCCTGAGTGGAGAAGTGGCCTCAGAAGGGCTGGGCTGGCTCCAAGAGGCCCAGGGAATGAGGGTGGCCACCCGGCCACGTCCCCAGCACCCACACTCAGTCCCAGCCCGCAGACCTGTCCTGGGCACCTGCGACGCCGGGCCAAGGCTGGGCCTCCACAGCCCTGCTGCATGGCACGGGGGCGGGGAGGGCCAGGGAGTAGCGAAGCAGCTTGCGGGCAGCACAGATGGGGGCAGATGTGCTCCAGCGGGAATGCCCGCGGGGAGGGCAGCAGACCCGGCGCTCTGCAGGAAGGCGGGGGGCTGCAAGGTCGGGGTGTGGCTCCGCCTGTCCTGGTGCCAGCAGTCCTCACTTCCGGGGAAGCCGAGGCAGGAAGCCCCAGAGAGGACTCGAGACCTTACAGGTGGCAAAGGGCAAGAACGGAAGCCTGCGTCCCGCCCAGGACTCCACTCCTGGGGCAGCTGTAAGGGGAGCAGAGCGCCCCGCTCCGAAACCCCAGGCTCAGCCCGGCCCCCACCAGCTCACACCCCGCCCCCGGCTTTGCCCAGTCGGCCCTGCTCGCGTTCCACCACCGGCAAAAGCCTCCGCAGCGCTTCTGCCCGTACCCCTCTGCTGGGCACCCCCCGGCCAGCTGGGCGGCAGGTCAGGACAGGACGGGGGGCGGGCGCCGGGGGGGCGAGTCTCACCTCGCCATCCCCGTGCCCCTTAAATCATGTGTGGAGTGAGGACACGGCAGCAGCCGGGCTGTGGCCGAGGGGTGGGGAGAAGCGAACCCAGAGACGCTCCTCCCCGTGTTCCGTAAATGGCTGTGAGAGCTCGCACCACGCAACCCGGGGTGATCCTCGCCTCCCGAGCCTGGGATCTCGACAGTCCCGGAATTCCCTCTTGATCTGGCTGGGACATGGACAGCGGTCGGACCGTCTGGTGGTCAAGAATGGGACCCGGGGCTGGCCGCCGGACAAGCTGTGTGACTCTGAGTGGTGACTCGACCTCTCTGTGCCTCCCTCACGGCGACGTGCAGACCGGATCAGCAGCCGCACATGCGACCGTGAAGAGGCTCAGGGAGGGTTCTCTTGTGCTTGGGGTCTGTCTCTGCACTAAATCAGAAAGGTCTAGAGGGGGCACAATTCCCACACATGAGCCCCACTTCACCCCAGCGGCATCTCAGGTTTTGAAGCTGACGGTGACTCCCCGAGCCTGCAGCACAGGCCGCGCTCCACGCCCACTGCCTGCAGAGACCCCCACTTAGCCTGCTCCCCCCACACCCTCACTCCACTGTCCCCACTTCCGCCTCCCAGAGCCTCCCACCGCCCAGAGGCCACACTGGCTCCACGGGCCTCACCCTGCTGGCCCCGACGCCGACCTGCACCCCCACTTGCCGGCTGGCGTCACGGACCTGTGGCGGGTGCTGCAGGTGTGTGGAGGGGCAGGGAGGAAGAGCTACCTTCTGCAGCCACCCCTCTGCCCACCACGTGCCCGGCGTCTGCCCTACTCAGCGGCACCAGTCCCCCACTGCTGCAGGGGCCAGGCAGGTTGGGGACCCCAGGAAGTCAAGTCCACAACAGGAGCCGAGATACAGACCACAGCTCTCCCAGGCTGGCCAGCGCACGGAGGGCTGCTGAGTCCCCACGCGGGCCAGGACCACTCAGATGCACCCGTCTGGGCCCCCGTCCTCTCCCAAACCCAGGCTCTGTCAGGCCTCTCAGGCGAGGGCCGAGGAGTGGAAAATTGGAGTCTCAAACTTTCTTCCCGTCCTGTTCCTGACTTGTCAGCTCGGGAGCTCAGTTTTCCCTGTCAAGCACTGGGACTGCCAAAGGGCCGGTGAAGGGGAGTCACACGGCCTCCCTTCCCCAGCCCAGGGTGGGGGGTAGGGTGAGGCCCAGGAGCTGGACAGACCTTCCTGCCCTCACCCACCTCTGCCCTGGAGGAGAGGGCCAACGCCCCGCTGTCCATGGTGCTGAAACCAGCCGCGGCTGGGCGCCCTGTGCAGGTCACACCCAACCCTGGGAGCGCAAACCCACACATCCCACTCACGGGAAACAGCCTCACACACATCCTGCACACAGCTCAAATCTTACTGCCCACCGATGCACACCCGCCCTAGTCCCACGAACACCCATCTCCTCCCAACACACCCCGCGGCAGGCCCCCAGGCAGACACACCCCTAGGGACACACCCCCCAGCACTGGCCCAGCCCCCAGGACCCCCGCCCCCGCCGCCCCAGGCTCGTGATTGCACACCCGCCCGCAGTGATACGCAATGATACACTCACTCCCAGGCCACAGTACACACACCAGGAGCCAGAACTAAACGCACGCGGCTGTGACCCTGCCCACGGCCTTGCCCCAACCCTTTTCACGCATTAGTGGGCCTAACCCATACCCACGTCTCCACACCCACTGACACATGGGCACATCGCTCAGCGACTGGTGCAGAAGCGGCCCAGAGAAGACACAGCCTGGGGACCTGCGCCTGCCCGGCGCCCCCTCCCCACGCGCAAGCCAGGCCCGGGCACCCAGGACGCACCCCCCCGCCCCCCGGGGGCTCTGGGCGCAGGTGGGGATCGTGGGAGCAGGCCATGCCCGCTTAACCCCTTCCCCGCCGGCCTGCTCAGGGCGCGTCCTTCCCCGGCGCCCTTCCTTCCTGCCTCCTTCCGCCGCCGCCTCCCGGAGCCCACGCTCCCCTCTATTTGTCCTCCTTCCCCTCGGCGCTCAAACCCTGATCCTGTGACCCGTGACGTGCGCCCACCCCACGGAGCTGGGGGTGTCAGGGTGCGTGGGAGGGGGCGCGCCAGGGTCACGGCGGGAGGCTGCGTGCGTCTCCACGCGTCCCTCCAAGGGCGGAACGTTGCGTCCCCAGGTCAATCTCGGGCGGGTCCCAGCGCGCCCGAGGTCACCGGGGGACCCGGAGGTCACCTGCGGGGCGCGCCGCCCCGCCCTCCCCAGGCGCTGCAAGGACTGCCCCCGCGCGTGGCCGCCCGCTGCGCCGCCTCCTCCGCCGGCCGCCCCTCCAGGTGGCTGTACCTGAAGTCGCTGTACGGGTGGATGATCCAGGCCCCCGCCGACTTGACTCGCTCCTGCTCGCGCTCCACAGCCTTCTGGCTGCCGAACATCCGCAGCGAGAACTTGTTGACGCCCGGCTGCAGGAGCGCGCCGAACTGGCGCTGCATGAAGCTAGCTTGGCTGCCGCGCGGC